TCTGCCACTACTCATCAATAGTTTTCCCTGACAGTTGTTTTTAAAGCCATATCTGTTTGATTTGTGAAGTGGCTAATTGAATGCATTCTATTTGGAAGACACAGTGAATGCAAGCCCACTACCAGAGCTGGCCCAAGGCTTCTTTATCAGCATCAGCAAACTACCCTGTGCTGCCCTGAGGATGAAGTGCACACATTACACACAGAGCTGGCTTTTTCTGCCACAGAAAAGTGAACAGGATCCAGCAAAGGCTCACATGACCCATTTTTCCTGAAGTAGCTGCTGTTTCATACATTCCCATCCCCTTTTCTGGCAGAAGCAGCTGCCGGGCTGGTTTTCAGGGCTTTGCCAGAGCCCATTCTGCCATCCCTATTGCTGCCTCCTTTGCCTGTGCCTGGATCTGGGCCTGCCCAGCACTGAGAGATTAGTCTCATTCAAAAGTAAAGGAAAATCCCCAAATCAACTGTCTAGGATTTCTGCCTATACATATACTTTCACTTCACTAGAAATTATTTATCTATCAATAAAGTTGCCTGCAAAGTTGAAACAAAAATATGATTAGTATGTGTCAGTTCCCACCTTGAGTTTAACTCTTACTGAAATCTGCTGCATTATGTTAAAAGAAAAAAAAAAAGCAAACTCTGCCCAAATTGCCAAGGTCACTACTAATTTCTTCTCTTTGGTATGTACATGCACACACATGTTCACAGACACCTACTGCATTCAACAGGCAAAGCACTTGTTTTGTGCTTTATTTGATTGATCAAATTTTTGCAAGGGTACTTGAAAAAAATACAAACTCTAAATCCAGCTATGCACAACGCAGGGTGCAGAATGACATGTAAAACCTAAGAATGGCACTGAGTTCCCTTTAGGATACATACCCCAGTGAAGTTTCAGTTCATGCTTCATAATTAAAAAATATGTACTACACTTAAGAAATCCCTCAACACACTTTATGAGCACAAGGCTAGAGTGATATAAGAGAACTTGTACTGCTCCCTTGCTTTTGGATACATTTCTTCTTAGCAATTGACCACAAAATGTGTAATAGTGCATGTTCATATGCAATACATTCCAGCAAGTAAAGCATCAGGGATTTATCCACACAAAAGCTCCAGATCTCTCATTCCCCCTTCCTGCAAGATAAGGAGGAGGAGCATATAGCACAATGAAGACTAACCCATTCTGGAAGGAATGCAGGTCTGCACTTAAACAGTGAATTTTGCTCTTGAGGTCATAAATAGAATCCAAAAAGAGAAAATAATTTTGTAGAATTCATTACATCTGTGGGAAGAAATCCATGGGTCCGTTTTCCAGAGTTGAGACAAGCTGTCTCAGGCCCAGCCTTGCAAAGCATTCAGCTGTGGGAAGGAAGGGGTGGCTTGGCAGAAACAGTAAAGCTGGTCAGGGAGTAAGGGAAAACTGCCAAATATACAAGCCCTGATTACAATTAGTTGATTTAAAGACTCTTCTGTTACGAGATCTCTAAAATGAAAAAGAAAAGGTTGGGGAATGTTTAGCCCTGTTCTAGTGGTATAGCTGGGTACATTAGGTGCTCCAGGGCACCTCACCTCATTTGCATTACAAGCAGCAGAAAAGCAATGGACACGGCCCCTTCCAAGGAATAATGTCCCAGAAGGGGTTTGATGGCAGCACAGGGCTGCCAGTGTGGCTTCCTAGAAAAATGCAAGAGACCTGTGCTTGAAGCAGAGTGTGGGAGGAGGAGCAGTGCCAGCCATCCTTGACTTCCCACCACCCAGCAGGAGATGGGACAACTGAACATAAGCAAAGCCAACCCTGAGAGCTAAAATGTCCCCCAAAACCAGAAAGTCCAAAAGTGTCACACAGCAGACCATAAAATTGAGTCGTGGCTGTTGCATTTATGCTCTCCCCAGAGCTCAGGCATGCCAGTTCTCATTAGTAACTGCTGTTATAATTTTAAAAAGGTTGTTCAATCATCATTGACTTAAGACATCAACAAAAGACGATAACAATCAAGAGATTTATCAAAGAAGTTACAGATAAGGCAACATACTTTTAAAGCAGTCTAAGATAAGGATTCATAGGACACAAAAAGGATGCACTGATCTATTTTATAGAAATATAAATTACATGGAATATTCTATTAATTATGTGCTGTCTGTGAACTCATACAAAGAATACAAATTTTTCATTTTACTGAATGAAAATTAATTTGCTATTCCCATGGCTAAAAAGACAATTATATATGAACCTGACAATTGCAATCAGAAATTACTAATTACTTGGTTGAGACTGTTATTCTTATAAACCTGGTTTTATATGCATGAACAAAATGATGTGCTCTGATTAGAGCAGGAAGCAGAAATAACAGCACTAGCACAAATGTCTAGAAAATGCCTTTGCAAACAAGAATGCTGCAAGATCTAGACATCACTTCAGTTAAATCCAGGCCACCCTGATGCACACAGGTAGAGGTTGCTTGCTCAGCACTGCCAGACAAGGCCTCCATTTGCACACTTACCCTTAAGACACATTATGCAGAATTATCAATTATGTATAATTATAGTTTCCCACTTAATGGCAGAAGTGGCTCTTCTCTTCCCACACAGACCTTGTAAAAGCTGATCTACTTCATCAGATTTTTAGAATGTTGCATTTTTCACCCATTTAGATAGCATTGGATAAACTGACCTAAGACTTTATTGTTGAAGACAGATTCTCAAAAATCTACTGCCTTCTTTATGGTAACTCCTTTTATCCTCCAAGTTACTGACTATCTAGTTCTATGCACTTTGTTTATGGAGCAAAATTCTACCCATATACTGCAATCCCTTTCAGAGCTCAAGGTTATTCGAAACATTGCCACCAGCTAGAAGGAAGAAGTTTCCTTATCTTTTGGGCCCCTCCCCCGCCCCATTTTTCCCCTCAGATTTTAGTATTTTTCAGCAATATAGTAAAATACCATTGAGCAAAAGCACTGGCATATTTCTACTACATTAAAATTATGCTTTTATGTACATATACTGCTTAACAAAAAGGAAACAAATAATTTTCCTACTAAAAAACAAAACCAAAAAACAAGATACCCAACAGGAATCGAAATATCTAGAAAGACAGAATCTCAGGTGTGTGAAAAGTTAAACTAAAGCCAGTAAATGCTATAGCAGAAGCCCTTGGCAGGGCTTCCCTCTTGCTGTGGAAAAGGCCAGACTCACAAGCCTGTGCAGTACACATGAGCCCACCTGCCCCTGCTCACAGCTCAGCGCCCACCTTACACCTGAGTGCAGCGCCCACTCCAGCTGTAGAGCATCAAGGTACAAGGACAAGGGAGAGCAGCAGAAATAGTAAGGAAGAAACAGACTGAGGAATCAATGTAAGCAGCTTCCTGACAGCACAGATGACAAATGTCTTCCTGTACTCTGACCTACCACATGCCTTATCTTAGAAGCAACCATCCCAAAACACAGCTCCATTTTCCTGTGATTTCATTCCTTGGCTCTCCAGAGGAGATCAATAGACACAGCAGTGCTGGCTGCCTGCAGAAGCCTGGGGCCATGCCATGGAAATCCCAGTGTGGCCATAAAGAGAACAGCAACTGAATGTGAAGCAGAGGAAGGAACAAAGCTTATCTAATGCTTTAACTCCTCAAACCCCACGTGTTACTGATAGTAAAACTTTACAAAAGGAAGGCCTTGTAAAATCATGGCTCAGACCTGTTACTTTGGCTAAGTAGAAAAGGACTGTGGGAAAGAGACTCAGCTAAATTAGAGGTAGAAAAACACGTTATATACCCACCATGTGTTCACATCATGATGTATGGTGGTTGGTTGAATTATGTTTGATATGGTTTAAAACTATGTAACTGATAATGAGCTAACTGCTTTAAAAGGCCTGGTTCTTTCAATAAAGCAGCTCTCCCTTGCATCTGCCTGGGGACTCTGCCTCACTACAGACCCTCACCCAAGTAGTGTTAAAGTAGCACATGGCCCCAAAGCAGATACTTCAGGATGGTTTTGCTTGAGTGAAAAGTTTGCAAATAAAAATTGATTTGGAAGAGTTACACTGCTGGTACACATGGAGTTTACCCTATGGGCCCAGATGTTGTTTTTTTGTTTTTTTTAAACACACACATTAGAGGAGACTCGCAATAAAGAATAGTGCAAATGACACCAAGTTTTTCTTTGGCAAAACTCCAGCAGGAAATAATCCTGTGTCAACTACAGCTCTGTCCTCTGGTACCACACAGATTCAATGCACATGTTGCATTTGTTTAAATACGTCCAAGTCTGCATTTCATTGTTTGTAAAGACTTCTTTGCTAAAAATCATAAATAGCCAATAATTCTGAACAATAGAACAACTTGATAAAAATGAAGCACAGTTCTTACCATGCACTGAAGGAGATTATACAAGGAAAAGGAAACAGAGTTACATGTCTTCAAACAAATAATTTAGATAAAATATAGTATTAGGTAAGGTGCTAACAACATCTCTCATTTTAAAGGTAAAGAGTTTTATCTAACACTGAATCACCCTAGTTAAAGAAGCACAAAAAAAATTGCTCTTTATTCCAGAAAAAGAGTTAATGTATTGTAACATCTGGTGATCCAGGGAAACAGCAATGCATTTCCTAAAATACCTGGCATTGTTCCAGTGCTTTATCAGCATCCTGAAAATACAGGCAATTGAAAAAATACCACTATTGCTGCATGATATGAATTTCAGACAAAGCAAAAAGTTCAGCATAATTCCATACAAGTCACATCCAATTTGGATCACACCATGTAATAGCCAAGCAATTTAGAAGGCTGAATTCTGCGTTTAGAACTGCAATAAAGTATTTTCACGTGTAATTTGTACAGCAGACTTTATGTTCTGGATACAGACAAGAAAACAAGAGAGGGTCAGACTTCTAAAAATCAATACTAATTCAGTAGGTGTTTTGGAAAACAAACCTAGCAAAGCATGTCTACTGCTACTCAGGAATCCCTGTATTAAAGACTCGGTATTACTTACTGTTCATATTGAGAATTATCACTTAGATGGATGTGGGTTTGTGAACAACGGTCCTCATGTTCATTTTCTGATCCTTCTTGCAGCACTCTTGAAAATCTGGAGGTGTTCATCAGACCAGAATGTAGCTCAGCTGCAAAGAGAAGCATTAATGTGTTTATCAGAAGCCACAGAGGTGTATTAACTAAAAGGCAAATTGGGTTGCCTTCTGAGGGACAGCATTCCAGAAAACACTGCTGGTAGGGAGTCAGAACTTTTCTGATGATACAAATAATCAGAAAATCTGGCTGCTCAAGGGCAGCCAGACACATTGAATACAGGATCAATTTAAGACCCTGCCACTGTTGGTGCTGTGTCAGACACAACTGTGTGGGATGCTACTCTGGTTCTTAAATCTCCTGAGCTCCCATACCACCAAACCTGTGTCCCATTAACTTTGCTAGGACTGACATTTTCTGTGGTAACTAGATCAGAATTAAAATCCTAGCCTTCATTCTCTTGCAGCAGTTCCCTTGAAGTTTAGGTACCAAAATACCCTCTTTGTTTTCTGCAGCTTTGGTCTTGAGTGTTCCTTACCAATAATGTCAACCGTGTAAATTTATTTTCTCATCTGGAAATAGCTGATAAATTTTTTGCAGATATAACCCACATAAAAGAGAAATATAATTTATTTTCCATATCGTATTTTTGTAACAACAAAGCTAAAAATGAATTTTCTAAGATCAGCTGATGCTGCTTTAACAATACATTGTCTTTTCATCATAACCAGAATTAGTAGAGCTAGGAAAAATTGTTAGATTATGACAAGACTGCTACACTGCTGTGCCTTCCCTAGAATACTGTAATCCTCTACCATAAGATGAGAGGGACATGATCCCTTCAGTTATTTAACATCTTTTTTAAGGACTGACATCCAAAGAAAATTTTTTTCTAATAAAATAATTTCTGAAAGTTACTGGGCAAATCTGAAGAGTAAGATTCAGCAATGCTGTAATGCCTCTTAGTAATGACCTACTTCCTTCCAGAGCTGGATCTTTAGCAGGACCAGTGAAAAGTTTACAGATAGGTCCAATTATTACAAAAATAAAGAAGCCCATATAAGTTAAGAACATGGTTGTGGTAGCACAGTAATGCTGTGGTTTTTGTAGAGTGCAATGGTATTGAATAAAGAGGATGTTGCCAAAAAGGAAGGCAGTATTTACACCAGGCAAGCAGCAAAATTGTCACACACAAATTCACTTCCCTTTCACACCTGCAAGACCTTCACTGAATGTTGGACAAAACATGTGGCACATGTTATTTCACACCTGCTGGTGGATATCTGGCAGCTACCAGTGGGGGTAAGCAATGGGGAAGAAAATCAGAACCATCCTCCTTCCCCTATGCCCTGCCCACCTGCAGCACAGGGGGCTTTTGCTGCCACTGCCCCTCAGCTCAGGGAGATTTTGGGGTGTTGCCCAAGGAGAAGATTTTTATGACTCTGATGAAGTCAGAGGACAGCAATAAGCCTCAAGGCAGCAGAGATAATTTAATCTTCATAAAGCCCACAAACTGCTCACAATACAAGGCATCATGGTATCAAGAAGACACCAATTTAGCAAAAGTAAGCACTGCAGTTAAAAATACCTGTGAGTACTGAGGAAGAGGTTAAAGAATCCAGAATGATGAGAATAATCTGAAGATATGCTCCACTGTCAATAAACTCAGCTAGTAAAGAAGGGCTCAAAGAGAAAATTAAAAGTTTAAATACAAATACCAATTAAAAATTAATCAGCTCAGTATCAGAATAGCAGAGATCAGCTAGAGAGCTAATTGGATTCACAAATTAAAGCTAAAAAGACACTGGAGAGAGTTACAATGGACTTTGAAAAGCATAAAGTTAAAATGATCCAGAGAAGAGTACAAAAATCCCAAAAAGTTAGTAATCTTTCTATGAACACTTAAATAGGTGTCAAGCAGAGCAAAGAAAAAATTTCAAATGAGGAAGTAACAACTTCAAGAATACAAAGTCTAGATTACAACCCACTTGTTTATTGCAATTTAGAGCGAACAGAACAAAAAGAATCCATGTGCAAACTTGGACTGGGTCCCCATAGAAAATTCCTAGTAAGACTAGTAGAGTACCAAAAACCAGTTACACCAAGAAACTGCAATATTCCCTAGCCCAAGGATTTTAAGAAAGAAAAAAAACCCCAAAAACCCAACCAAAACCACTCCCAGCAAAACAAGAAAAACTCAGAAGCCACGCTACAGTACACAAACAAATGCTACAAGACAGATATTAGGACAGCAGACAAGTTCAACAAAGAACCCAAATTTCTAGAGAAACTTGCATCAATAAAGCAGAGCCAAAAAGCCCCAGGCCCAGGGCTGATCTTACACCGAGCACCTGGGCCATGTAGGCAGGAGGTGTGGGTGGAGGCCCCAGGTGAGGTTGGTCAGGGCCATTGAGGGCTGTGAGAGCACTCAGAACCAGCCCCACCTGCAATGCTAAAGGAATACTGGCAGTGCAGAGCCTTGCTTAGTATTACTTAGCAAGGATAAATTTGACTTATTATAAAGGTCACTTTTATAAATGTCTTCAATATATCTGTCTAAACTATCCAGTGTAATTATTAAAATAGTCTTGTCACACACAGAGAATCTAGTTTACAGGCTTGGGTATGATTTAGGTTACATTTGAATGGACTTGTTCTGAGACAGTGATTTAAAATGTATTTGAAATGACAGATGGGAACATTTTTTATAATGTACTTCATTGAAGGTCCCTGCACACAGACTGGTTCACCCAAAACATCAGTAAATATGCCAGTGCTGCTCTCATCCACAGGATATTTTGAGGGCCAGAATGCTAAAGTAGTTGCAATACCAGGATTAACAGAGGGTTTTGAACAAGTATGACAAGTACAACAGCATTTAGGAATAGTCTGGGAGGGTGCTTCATGACTGCTTTGGGAGATCAGTTAATGTCTGTCTCCTGACCTGTGGGAAAGGCAAACCACTAGAGACATCCCTGATGTTCACACACCACACCTACTTCACTTTGAAGAAGGACATTAGATTGGTGTAATTTTTTCTCTGATAAAACACACTTACTTTTAAAGTTCTGGGGTTTGGTAATAAGATGGAAAGATAACATGTTAGAATAGCTGGGATGGCAGAAAAAGACAACCTTAGAAGTGAAGTCAGGTGTCCAATAGAATGCCTTAATTTCAAAGTATTCTCTGAATACAAATAAAGCCTAGAATTATTACTGAAATAACAAAAGCTCAATCCTCACATGACAGATTGACAGAATACCTCATTTATTGTTGCATTAGTTTTATCAAGGATTCTTACTGCAGAATGCAGGTATGTTTTCAGACCACCTTGAATTTGAATATAGGGGGGAAAAAAAATACTGGTTTGTCCCAAAGCAAGTCACCAGCAGGGCAGAAAGGGAGACAGTAAATGTGTCCAGACACACAGATGTATTGGGAGGAGCAAGACACTGAAAGGATACAGGGGAGCCTGGTCTTGACATTGCACTCCATATTGCAATGAAATTTTGTTCTTTGGGATTGGGGGGTACTTTTACTGACATTACTGAAATCTCTTTGCAGACATTTCAAAGGAGTTATTTGGAGGTCAATGCAGCACAGAGATTTAAACAGCCTTCCTGTGAGCTGAGAGGAAACAGAAGAACACAGAAATGACAAGGGCAACAGAGACTGGAATCGCGGCCTTGCATGTTACTATGTGAAAGAACACACAGGTTAGGAAGAGGTTTAAAAGTGAAGGTTGAAAAATATCATGCAATCAAGAATAGCCATGGTGTAGAAGAAGCTTCTCTTGATGCAGTATTGCAGCCAGGAAATAGGATAATACTGCATGAAGAAAAGAATGAAATGTATCATCATTTTTTTTTTTTTAAGAGAGATTAAGTTGTATGCCACACAGAGAAAACCACATTGTTGTAAGCTTATCATCATGGTAGTAAAAGGCCAGGAAAAAACCCAAACCAAACAGAAAAGCCAACAAACCAAAACACCCCAAACTGCTCTTTATGTAAATATTACGGCTGTTCACAGGTAACTTACGTGTGTAAAAGTACCTCTAAACCACAAAAAATACTTTAGTCATCACTTCTTTTAATAACAGGTTGGACAGTATCTCTTTAGTAAGGGATGATAACAATAACTCATTTGTAAAACTGGTAATATTGTCAAGTATTGGCAAGTTGTAAGGCGAATCCTGTGTAGCTTCTATTTTAGTTAACAGAGCAGACACTTATTGTTTGTTTGAAAAAGCTGGCACAGCTCAGGGTAACTATTAGTGATGTTGAAATTGTGATGCTTTTAATTCTGTAGGGTGGGTGTATAAAATAATATCGTTGGGTTTTATATCTATGGACTGCCTTGAACATGCCTACCAAGTGCATTGATACAAGCTGTGTAACTGTGTTGGACTGTGTCACCATGCATTGTGAGTTTAGTGTCTTAAGATTAATTTGTTGGAGCAAGATTACCTGAAAGGCAAAACCAGCTCTATACTGATGCAGCTCTTTTAAGCTGGTTGCCAGTAAAAATATTGACTACTGACTGTACTTCAGCTAAATCGGGTGAAATTATGTTAACTGCATGATTACAAGTGTTGCAGTTTTACAGAGGCCCCAGTATATATGGCACTAATTCACGTAAAGGACCTAAGTTGGAGTAGGTATTTATTTTCTGATATTTGTATCAATATATGGGTGTGAAAAGCATTTACATAACTCTAACAGTGTTAGAAGTGTTCAAATGATACAAGCTGTGTAAGGGAAGCCCTGAGTGTCCTTTGCTGCTACAGCAGTTCATTTGCTGCTGGTGTTGAACCCTGGCCTGTGTCAGGAACGCTGTGGCCAGCAGGACAAGGGGTGTGATTCTTCCCCTGTGCTATGCACTGGTGGGGCCACAGCTTGAGATGTGTCCTGTTTGGGGCCCCTCAATTCAGAGAGGACATTGAGGTGCTGGAATGGGTCCAGAGAAGTGTAATACTGTTGGGGAAAGGTGTGGAGCACAGGTGCTGTGAGGAACAGCTGAGTGCGTTTAGCCTGGAGGAGGCTCAGGTGTGACTTTACCACTCTTCACAATTCCCTGGAAGGAGGCTGCAGCCAGGTGGGGGTCGCGGTCTTTTTCCCACGCAACTAGTAACAGGACAAGAAGACATAGTCCTAAACTATGTCAGGGGAGGTTTTGGCTGGACATGAGGAAGAATTTCTTCACATAGAAGGTGATTAAAGATGGGAACGGGCTGCCTAGGGAGGTGATGGAGTCACCAGCTCTAGAGACGTCTGGCACTACTCAGTGCCACGGTCTGTTTGACAAGGTGGTGTTCGGTCTGAAGCTGGAACTCGATTCCCACCTAACGCATTCTGTGGCTCGTAAGCGCCTGTCGCGGCGCCCCGCGGGCGGTGGGGGCTGCTCCGCACACCTGCGGCCGCGCCCTCGCCTTTCCTCGCCCGGCTCCGTCCCTGCCGCGGCTCTGGGGGCTCCGCCGGGCGCGCGCGCGCTGCCTGAGGGGAGCCTCGAGCCCCGCCGTGCCCCGCCGGCGGCGTGCCCGGCCCCGCGGGTCCTTCCCCTCCCCGAGGGGCTGCTCCGGCTTTCCTCCTCCTCCTCCTCCTTCCCCCGAGGAGCTGCGGTGCCCTGGCCGCCGCTGTGCCGGGCGGCCAGAGCGAGAACGACGCTACCTCACCGCCTGGGCGAGGGCTGCGGCCAGCGGAGGTGTCTCTCCCTCAGGCCCAGGTGAGGGGGAGCTCCGAGCCCTCAGGTGAAGCGGCCTCTGCTCCGGCCGCTCTCCGGGCGCGGGGCGGGAGCCGCGGGTCCCCCCGAGCGGGCCGGGCCGGGCGGAGGGCGGTGGAGCGGCCCGGAGTGATGACGCGCTTCCTGCCCTCCCCGCCGGGGGTCTGCGCCTGGAGTCCGCAGCGGCGGCGGCTGCGGGCGGCGGCGGAGCCGGCGGGAGCGGGCAAGAGGCGAGCGGGGGGAAGGAAGGAAGCGAGAGAGCGGCGGGGCTTAGGCGCTCCGCAATGCCACAGTAACAGCGTTCCCGGTAGGAGCCCGCAAGGACCCTCGTCCTGCCCCGCCGTTGCACATTGCATAGAGCGTGTGGTCTGTGCGGAGCCGCCGAGAGGGGGAAGACTCGGCGCGGGGCTGAGCGGCGGGAGCGCGGAGCCGCTCGGCTGCCGCGGGGTTCTGGATGCGGGCTGCCTCCGAGCGGCAGCAGCCGCGAGCTGCTTCGCCCGTGCGGGCTCGCCCGCGGGCAGCGCTGCCTGCCCAACAAGTTGTCGGTTCCAGGGAGCACAGCAACAGCCCGGCCCAGTGCCGTGCGGGCTGAGCCCCGGGAAGGGGAGAGCGGCCTCAGCTCACCTATCGTTCGTCAGGAGCCGGGCCGGCATGAGAGGGAAAGAGCGGTCTTTGGGGATTTCCCTGTGCCGTGGAGGGCAGGAATAGGAGGCAGGTGCTGGTTCGGCCGGCCCCTCGCATCATGCCTGGGAGAGCGTGGCGTGGCCGTGTCGGAGCTGTGTTTGCCCGGAGAACGGAGCTGGGCGCTACTGGCGACCGTGATGTAGATAAAACCTTTTCGCAATACGTGGTGAAATGACGACCTCCCAAGGACGATCCTGCCGCGTCTGCATATGCGTGGATTGTATCTATCTATGTGTGTCTCTGTCCGCACCTTCCCACGGGAGGGTGGAACGGCTCGCGTTGGGAGCGGGGCTCAGGGCGGTCCCGTGGGGCCATCCCGGAGCGGAGGGAAGGATGCGGCCGGCCCCGCACACAGGGTGGGTGGGCGGCTGCTCCGCAGCCCCGCTGTTCTCCGGGGCGTGCAAGGGTCCCGCGGCTCCGGGCTGCCCGGTGAGGCTCCGTGAGCAGGGCTGAGCAAAGCGCAAAACCTCCCTTCGTGCGAGGCGGCGTTGTGTGCTTGCAGCGAGGCTGTCCGCGTCCCGGCTGGGGTTCTCCTGTGTGCCCTGAGACCTCCGTTTCTCTGTTTCTTCTGTCTCTGCGTGCAGCTTTGCCTTCGGGTGTCTGGAGAGCCCTGGCGCGGTGTCACTGCATGGGAACACCTCACTGAGAAATGGGCCTCTGCTGGCTTTATGCTCACCTTCTGTAGCACCTTTTTTCTGCTGACCAGCCATTTCAGATTTTTTAGGCTTTACTTTTTGTGTGTTAAAATGCTGCTATGACGTGTAGTTAGAAAGATTGTGGGAATGTTCATAGAAAAAAAACCTCTTCTCAGTTTAAACAATTGTCTGCTTCCCTCCAAATATTTTTAAAGTTTATTCTGTAGACCTATATTTTGGAGCAAAGTTTGAGCCATATTAACTTGCAAGGCAATTCTGGGTTTGGAACTATGTTACTTAGAGGCGTTGAGGAGTTCTGCATTCTCCGAAGAACCCAATGGCTATGGAACAATATCCCTATGATTTAAAAACAAAGAAGCAACATATTTCTGAGATTGCTCTTGCTTATGTAAAACATTACTTGTTTGTATGTTTATGGCAGTGTGTTTTAAGTAGGAATACAACCTGCCAGTGTTAATTAAAAATACCTTACAAATTGTAGTATATGAAAAGCTTTCATATCTATATGGTGTAATGGTCAGCCATACTTCCAACAGAACAGCTTTTAGATGAGTTTACTGTGAGTTAAGTTGGCTGAACTACCATTCCTGCTTTAATTTTCATAATGTGACATTTTCAAGGGAGATTCAAGGTTATCACACAGCTGAGGAGGAAGGGGGAGTCTCTTGCCTCCAGTGTCTCTTGATTCTTGGAAGTGCATTCATTTGAGTTTCCTAATGCCTCATTTAACACACTGGTCACTACAGAACTAAGGGGTTAAGTGGAATACTAGCTTATCTGTTAGTGACAAAATTATTGAGCTTATGTAAAATAAGAATACTTATTGTTTCTGGTTGCCAATCTAAGTGGGCTAACTATGGCAAATTTTACTAATATTCAAGTTCTAAATCTCAGTATAAAGTCTACAGCCATTTCATATGGGATACCCATTCATTTTACCATTCACATTACAGGAGTTTATCCTGAATAATTGTCCTCTGTGTTTTTGGAGTAACATCTGTTGCATGATATCATGTAATGGAATGTGGTACAGACTAATTTAAGTTGATTTGAAACATTGCCATTGCACTGTAGTAGTGCCTGAGAGGGTGAGAGGTTTTGTGGTGTGTGTGATGGATAGATTGGTTACAAGTAGACAATATTGAGGAAGATGAACTTGCATTTGAACTGCAAAGGATTAAGTAATTTTACTCTGAGCTTGGTTTGTTTTACAGTTTTACTTAGACTTCTTTCATTGCTTGCCAGCTAATGCAATGGCTGAATTCTACTTATATTAGGAAATCCATCTACAGTTATATTTATAACTTTCAGTGCGAAACACCACTACAGTAGAATCCCAGTCTTATTTTGGAGTGGGAGGAGTGGGTTTGAAAGAACTGTCTAGCTGTGACATAGCTTGAACTGCATGAGAGTTAGAAGTTTTGCTGTGAAAACTTTCATTTATTTGGTATTATTTCTGCCAAGATTTGACTGCATGTAGCAAGGATGTTCGGATGCATTAATATTTAGATTGTCCCTTTATATGCTTACTTATATGATATGTATCTATTAAATCTGTGCAAATGCAGTCTAGATGGGTTGCAAAAATGGCAGTACTTAATTAGTCACCACATCTAGACAGGAGTTCAAACATCTCACCTCCATTCCTTTTTGAGGCATTGCAGTGTCAGATAACTGTTGGGTTATCAGTATTGTATGTTCATGAAATATGAGCAATACCATTTGTTGAAGTATCCCTACAATCCATAATTTTACCATTGTGGTACTGAAAACACCATTTGAGTTTATTCTCAGCTGCCAGTCCTATCTGACCTCTGGAGATTTTGGTAAGCTGCCAAATATGTAGACATCTTGATATTATTTTTTTTTTTATATGAAGAGTTTCTTGCTTAGCAGTGTTTTCCAGAGTCTGCCTTTGTACCAGGCCCTAATTAGGTAAGAAGTGTGAATGTCTTGACAGACCACTGTACAAGCTTTCAGAAATTCTTTTCTCCTCCCTGCTTTTGAATCTTTAAAATTTTTGGCAAGTCTGCTTGTGCATGTTTCTGCAGACAATAGAATGCTGATGCAAATTGAGAACAGCAAGCAAAATGTTGGGTGTAGTTGCACATGGGGAGAGGCTGTCTTAATAATGCAGTGTTATGTTTCATTTGTTTACTTTTGGATTTTAATGTTTCACATAGGACAAATGGAGATGGAAATTGCAGTAGTCCTGAAGGAGAATGCAGGTTTTTGTTTCCAGGGCTCTGCTTTTGACTACATATTGTTATAAAAATAGATAGTAAATTGAACTTCAAAAATTTTGGGGCAAAGGAGATGCAAAT